ATTTGACAAGAATTTTTATTCGAAGTATCCTCCTCCTGCTGCAGCCTGTCATCAATATGCCTGAGCAATCGAGGTACAAAGTATAATCATTTTCTATATCTTTCGGTGTCTGTTAGAAATGTGGAAGTGTATAGCAAATGCTAAAACTGGCCAAATTCCTATAAGGACTAAAATCAGGGTTAGCTCAGAAGGATGGTATTGGATAATCAAATTCAACAATAAGCTCTTTGTTCTATGAAAAGGCAAATATTCCTTTTCACTACTACAACCCCAATAGTATGGACAAACATGAAATTCAACTCTTTTGATGAAATAATACTCTTGGCTACTTTAAAGGTTAGTAGGAGCTTTTCTTTCTTTGAAAATACTCTGAGTTTGACAAGGCAAGCTAGCGTGGTTAATTTAACTCCTGTTGACGCTTCAAGATATGGCTCAGATGTCACCTTAAACCTTCCTTAAACCCCACCACCACCAGTAGAAAATAAACCTCAAGAAGTTACTTTGCAATCTCTCTGTTTTATGAATTATGTTATTGTTTGTTGTGTATGTCACTGTTCACTGTTGGCCTGGGAGCCTGTGTGTGTGTGTGTGTGTGTGCGTGTGTGTGTGTGTGTGTGTGTGTGTGAAATTAAGGAGCCCTTATTCAAAATCATGCTATGCCTGGTGTCTAACAAAGTGCTCAGATGTAGTAGATGCTCAGTAAGTATTCAGTCGATGAATGAAAACTTTTGATTGCCACCAAGTTTATCCTGGCATGATCTTGATCTGGTGGCTGCCTAAGGTCTTCTCAGTGTTTCAGAGGGACACTGCCACCAGGAGACCTTCTAAGAGGTCAAATGAAGGTATATCACCTTGGGAAATAGAAGGTTTGGCCCTCATCTGTACAGATGCAGAAAACTGAGTGATCAGTGCATTTTTTCTATCCCGAGGTTCTTTTTCTCAATAAACGTGTATTGAGAGCTTTCTCCGAGCCTGGCAATCTGCTGGGCACTGGAAATCCGGGAGTTTCACGGGCACAGACCCTACCCTCACTTCCTTTACCACCTGGCTGAGGGAAAAAGTCAGTTAAACAAGCCCTTCCCCTGAAGAGTGGACTGGCCTGGTATAGGGAGTACGGCGTGCTAGGGATGCATAATAGGTGCACGTAAAACACTCTGGGGCCCAGCGGGGCTTCTGGACACACTCCCAGAATACACTCTCTCCAGAACACACAGCTCTAGGACCTTATCCACAAAGTCAGAATGTCCCTTTCTTAGCAATGAGCAATGAAAGCATGTGGCTGAATGGAAATGTACACATATCTAAATCCTCTCTCTCTCCTCTCTCTCTCTCTCTCTCTCTCTCTCTCTCTCGTCAGACCCACTTGGGAGACAGATTAGAATGGCAAGGTTGCTTGGTGAGTAAGAAATTAAAGCAGTTCTCTCTATTTAAAGGCATTAGATTATAAGGACAGGGCCTCCACTCTCACACTAGGAATAGCTTTGCGAATAGGGCCATTATTTTTGCACTTCTCTTTTTTGACCAAGATCCTCTCTCTTCCAAACATTGCTTGGGTAGGCTCTGTCAGCCTGGCCTCCCTGACTCTTGCTTTTCTAGGTGTCCACTCTTCTGACAAGACTTCTTTAGATTTGTTATTACCTGTGATCGTATTATGGAGTAGGACAGGTCTGTAATTTACTGTCAGCAGACAGTGTGGTAGTGGTAGGAACGTGTGTGTGTGTGTGTGTGTGTGTGTGTGTGTGTGTGTGTGTGTGTGTGTGTGTGTGTGAAATTAAGGGCTGGCAATTACCTCACTCAGGACTTCACACGCCAAGGGTGGTCAGCTGTATTAATCCGAGTCCATAATCCAGTTACTCTAAATGCTTCTGTTAGCCATAGCTGAATCAACACCAGAGGCTTTGCTAAATAGCAAAATGAAGGTTAGGAATGGGTTTTCATTGGTGAAATGAGTAACTTGTTAGCCAGAATAATGGGTGTCAGAAATGGGCTCACGTTGGTGAAATCAGTGCTGTTCAAAATGTGTATATTGTGTGAAATCTGTGAGACTCTCCTCACCCTTGCGCTGATGGGGTATAAGAACCTAGCAAGTCTGAAGCCTGTTGTCTGAAGGATAACACTACAGGCTAAACCTATAAATGGTCCTGCATCCAGCTATGAACTCAGTGTTCCAAGTTTCCTGATACCGGCTTATAAGGCCAACAAAATCTTGCCTCTGTAATAGTGGCAAGTCCTCCTTGAGTGCCTTGCATTTCATGCAAAACGATAGTGGGAGCTGGGACATCATTGAGCTTATCGTTCAGAACTGTTTTGTGCCTCAGGCTCATGGCTGTTTAATAAACGTCTGAATAAATGGGCCCATATTCAGGTTCTATCCTTAGCCCTCAGGGAGCCTGGGGAGAAGACCTCCCTACCCAATGAGGAGCTGTTTTCTTTGTGACCTTCATCTTGCAGACAGGCACAGTTCTTAACAGAGACAATTATCCCTTGAGCAAAAGTGAGATTAATGCAAACAGAATACGTGTGCCCTTTAAAGACTTCATAGGCCTTGAGGACCTAAAATATTACTCCAACAATGAATTCCAGCAGAGATAAGCAAAGTGCTTTTAGGGGGGCCTGGGCAAGGCCTTGACAGTAACTTCTTTGAGGCATTTAAGATAAAAATCTAAACAAAGAATGGGTCTATGGGAAATCAGGTTAGTCTGACCCAAGGAAGAAGAGAGCGATCCAAGACCTAGAGAGCAGGCAGAAGCTATTCTTTCACCAGCGTTGGAAGCTACACAGCACATCTGCTACTGCTGTATTCCTTAGAAGCCAATCACTAAGCCTGGCCCACATTCAAGAACTCGGGAATCAGACTCCACCTTTTGAAGGGAGGATCATCAAAAAACTTGACAGATTTAAAAAGCACCGGCGCCTACACGAAAGATGTTATGAGAAACAGACTTCTAAAATTCATATTTCTTGCAGGAGCAGTAATAGCTATGCTTCTCTTGAGCAGTCGTTTGTTTTTATTTTGTAATGTCGCGAATTACTCTGAAAACTGTTTTCATCTTTTCTCAGCTGTCAAGAAGCTCAAAATAAAATTTTGGCTAACCTCCAGCTTGTGTACAAGACCTTAAGGCATATGTTTTATGCATTCAACTCACCCATGACTTCATCTAATTTTTCCTATCCTTTCACTCTCACTTTATTCTTTCTCTCTCCCTCTCTCTCTTTGAATGAATGACGTAATATATATCTCTGTATCTACACACACATAGGTCATGGCATATTGTGTATATATTTACAGGCCACCCAAATCTCTTTTGAAATAAGAATATGTATAAATAAATGCGATGAAATGTTTTTCATTTATCTTAAGACTTGGGGTCACTCTTTTGTTTTCTTAATAAAGATAATTACTAATTTTTTGTTCCATATATACTTATACTCAAACAATACAGAAAATCATCAAGTAAAAATACTCTCAAATCTCACCACCCAAGGAAAAACATTAATGTTTTGATTAATATTCTTCTAAACATCTCTTTGTAAATGTACGGGCAATTCTATATTAAGGTCATTATGCTATGTATATTTTCTAGGTCAATATGAGATATGTTCATCATTTTTAGTAACTGCATGGTGTTCCTTTGCACCATAATTTAACCGCAGTGCATTTTGCCACTCAATTCCCTAGATGCCTTAGAAGCAGCATTATCAATAGACGTATTCTGCATCTTGCTGGGATTTTTGTCTTTAAGGTGAGGCATATTGGCTGAGGCCATCGGCCTTATATAGAGTCTGGGTTATGAGTTCATTATCAATTGCTTTAGTTTTGAAATCTCAATGCTGGATTGAGGTGTTCTGCCCATGAAATAAAATGCTACTTTCTCCCAATTTTCGAAAATAATTAATAGATGGACTTTCCCCAATATTGAAATTTGCTCACGTGTATGTTATTAAATTTTTGGCGTCTGCTACCACTATTTTGTATTCGACTCTAAAAAAATTTGATATAGGATTTACACAAATTTTCATAAACAATTTGATATAGGATTTACACAAATTTTCATTAATTCTATATGCCAAGATTTCATGGCGGTGTGTGACTTTCAGCTCAGTCACTGGAGGTCCGGTTCCATCAGATAGATATAGGGAATATTCCTGAGGAAAACCTCACCCCCGCCCCAATCGCGTCAAGAAAAATCATCGGTTCAGTAAGCCGAGTTTATTTTAACGAAACGACTGCCGGAGAAAGCGGGATACATTCAACATGTATTAAGCACCAACTATGTG